AAATTTTTGTCCATATTTATATATTATAAAACACCTTCTAGAGTACTACCTAATAGATGTTAACCTTATGTTAACATATAACTACAACAAACTTTTTTGTAGCATATTACACTTACAAAGCACCACTGTAAACTCATTTAATCCTCAAAACAACAGTACTGTTATTATAACACCCGTGTGAGGAAAGAGGCTCAGGAGAGAAAACTTGTCCAGCCTCACAAAGCTAATAAGTGACAGTCCTGGCACTTGACTCAGATCCCATGATTTCAAATTCCAGGCTATTTTCTCCACATTAATGAAAACAAACAAACAAATCGTCAAAACTAGAAAGATGTTTGGATTTACCATGTAGATGGAAGAATTCTCCCAGGATCAATTAAGAGCAAGAGCAGCCCTGAGGATGGCGATGGGGATGACGCTCACCATCCCTGAGAAAGCTCATAACTGGTCACTTTCCCCAGGTGGCTTCTCATCATCCAGCCCATTTTCAAATTTTTATTGTCATTATCTCTGCAGTTAAGGGTAGCATATCAATGGTATTTTTTTACACCATCCATAATTGAAGATTTATTTAGTACATTGGAATTCTACTCTTAATGAATGCAGGCATTCTTTGTGTCCTGTAAAGCCATTTGTGAATATGAAGCATTTTAAATTATTTTTTAAAGTTCTGGAAGCAGTTCGACTTAATATGTATTACTAAATACCTGTTGCATGTCTAGCACTGTCCTAAGGGTTATGTGAACACCAAAGAAATATGGCAGCATCTAACTCTAAAAAGTTCATAGTTTAGTGGAGAAGATAAGATTTAAACACATGAAATAATTTGAAAAATAATACAAGACATTAAATAGTATCAAGTGAAGAAAAAAAGAAAGATAGTTCCAGGAAGGAAAATGGAAGTAATTAAATCTTCTCAGGAAGCCTAAAAGAGGCAATAGTGCCGAGTAGAAAGTTAATAGAGACATGGGACTGTTTCTAGCTCACCCCTATTTGCCCATTGCGCGAGCCCGCGTCTTCCACCTTCTCTCACGCCCCTCAGGATTTGGCCATTCTCTCCTAAAGATATATCTCAAGCCCATAGAGCCTTGGTTGCACTATTGAGAAACTGAGTCCTTATCACGTGTTAGCCCTTCAGAAACAGTTGCATTTTTACAGACAACTTTTTTTTCTTTTTTTTTTGTGAGGAAGATCAGCCCTGAGCTAACATCCATGCCAATCCCCCTCTTTTTTTGCTGGGGAAGACCAGCCCTGAGCTAACATCTATAGCCAATCCTCCTCCTTTTTTCCCCTTTTTCTCCCCAAGGCCCCAGTAGATAGTTGTATGTCATAGTTGCACATCCTTCTAGTTGCTGTATGTAGGAGGCCACCTCAGCATGGCTGGACAAACGGTGCGTTGGTGCACGCCTGGGATCCGAACCCTGCCCGCCAGTAGTGGAGCACACGCAGTTAACCGCTAAGCCACGGGGCCAGCAACCAACAGACAACTTTCATATGCAAAGCTCTTCAGTGTTGGATTTCAGGCCCTGTGAAAAGCTATTGAAGAGATGTTTGGGGCCAGAGAAACTTCTTGGTCTGCCTCAAATTACACCAGTGGACAATGGCCTGATCCTATCTACTTATATGAAGACAAAGCTGGAAAAAAGAAATGAGGAATATGAACTCTTCTAAAAGTCAATACTGAGCTGTAATTCCTGGAAACAGATTCTCAACATAAAGCAAATAATTATTTAACTGAAAAAAAAGAAAACCTGAGCCATCATATTGACCAATTTATATGCAATGATTATGAAAAAATGTCATTTCTTAATATTATCATTTTATAGATAATATGTGAGCAGATATATGTTAATGTAGATTTTAAGATGAATCTTTTAATCTTTCAAAATATTTGGAAGCAAACTTCATTTAATTTTTATTGCTAGGACTTTAATAAATTTTTGGAGAGCAATTTGCAAAGAAAAATATTAATCTTTCAAAAGTTATTTGAAAGTGAATTAATTTTAATTTTTTTTTTTGGCTTGCAATTTATCTAACACTTTCTTTTAAATTGCCCTCTAAAAATTTTAGGCAATTTATGTTAATATTTTCATCACGCCTTGCCATGATCTTTTATTTGTTACCTTCTTAACAGACAGGTGGCTCAATTAAAATATTAAGACTACTCTAAAAATAAGGAGCAATACATATATTTAAAGAAGATTTAGTAACTTTCCCATTTATAATAAATACTTGTATCAGAAGGGAATGAATAGAACTAAAAGTCAGTAGGATCATTAATGGTGCTGGAAAGCAAGCAATGAACTAACTTTTGACTTTGCCAAAGGAAGAGTAGAAACCTGTATGAAAAAGTAGATTTAAGGAAGGTAGAACTTCCAGAGTAAGATGTTCTATGTGGCTTTTTTAAAAAGTAAGGAGCAATTTGTGCATTAAGCGGGTGACTAGAAATTGGTGAGGCCAGATCATTACCAGTCTGTCATACTTTAAATTCATAGCAGGTCAAAAGGAAGCCAGATTAGAAAATATAGGAGGAAAATTGGGCCAATTATAACATATTTTCCCCTTCCCCCCTTTGGAGAGAGACTAATGAACTCAGTGCCATTACTCAACTGCTCTCTACAGCCACAGTGGGCCCTGGGAAACTACTTCAGTAAAAGAGATGACATTTTTCTCCATCAATTCCCCACCTCCCCCTCCTGGACACATCTTTCTCCTGTCTACTGACTGATGGCTTTGAGTAGGCAGAGACTCTCTAAGGGATGCCCTGTCTCCCAATAAATAAAAAGTCCCCGTTCTGTCATTCCCTGCCCTCAACTGCTTGTCAAGTCAACTAATTCACACTAAATCATAAATTACTGAAACATCTTACTTTTTAACCCTCCCATTGATGTCCACATTTTTATAGAGATTGCAAGAGGGACAGTGTGTTAACCTAAAGGAACACTAATGATCTAATGGTAGAATACCAGTTGCTAAGACAGATGGAGGGAAAATGCTTAGCACAAGGCCTCTTCCTTTTTCCTACCAAGCTTAAATCACAACTAATGTCTCCTTCTGACCCAGCCCTCTACCATTCCCAGAGTGTCAGCCATATGTAAGCTCTTGTTGGGGTTGACCCATATCCTTGCTGCACACGTACTCTATGTTTTAGATGTGGCTCATAGCCGCATCTGTTCAACTAAACTGGAGAGTGGGTGGGAGACCCTCATTGCTATGGTCCAATGTACCGAGACAACTCTGAAATCTAGAAGGGCTAAATGTCTAGCTCAAGGACACAATAAATGAAGGGATAGTAATAAAAATAGAAATAGAATTATTAATAGAAATAGAAAATAGAATTCCAATTAGATTTTCTTCCCACTTATTACACTATGTATCTAGAGCAGGGTTGGCAAATATGTCGCTCTGCTCTAAACTCTCCCATCCTCGGCAGTCACCTCTAATCACACCGGTCTGTCCTGTAGTAGTACCTGTGTGAGGACTCAGAATTCTTCTCAGCACAGTGCTTCACGTTATCTCTACTAACCCATTGAGGTTGCAATAGGAGTTTAATTCAATGAGAGTTAAATGCCAAACAGAAACTGGTGAGACAACCCAGACATAAACAAAAGCAGGAAGCTACTACTGCATCCTACCACTATCCCGCATCCCAATACCACCACCCCTCTCCTGGCCCTGAACTGGATGGAGAAAAGGAGGTGGTTTTACAGACCCCGGCAGTCTGGGCTGCCTGGTGGAAGCTGTGGCCACAGTGGGATCTGGGACCATGGAGTGGGGGCTGCAGGCGGAAGGTGGAGCCGTGGAAAGGAGGCAGCTACTGCCAGAGATGCCAACAGCCGAGAGGGGAAGAAAATACCCTGGTCTCTCCTCTCCTCCAATTTCCCTCTGATAGTGCTTCCTATTGGCCAAAACTAACCAAAATCCTGTTGACAAGGAGAACTAGGAACAAAGCTGGGGGAGGGTGGGAAACGAATTTGAGAACAAGCTGATCAGGAAAGCAGCCTCCTGCACGTGTGGTGTTATATGTTTTGTTAGTTTTATTTAATCCATTGCATATATGGTTATTTCTGATTGCAAAATGTAAACATATTTTTAATAGAAATTTTTTTTAATGTAAAAAAATACAAAGAATAAAGTCAAAATCAGTCATACAACTATTACTAAATAGATAATCATTGTGATCACGTGACATATTATTCCAGCATATTTTTAAAAAATGTTTAAATAAATTTGAGGTCATGCTACATACATAGTTGGGACTTTTTTACTTAATATTTTTCCCATTTTATTAAATATTCTTACAAACTATGATTTGTAACAACTATATCATTTATTGTGTGGTATTGTGGAATAACATAATTTATTTTGTCATTCTTCAAATTAGTGAGCGTTTGATATGGCCATGTTAACCATATAGAAAACGTGTTAGCTGAAATGATCACTAGTCTATATTTTTTATTTGATTCAGTTATGAGAGACAGAAATCTAATGAAGTCTGGCAACAGGAAATCTGAAGATAAATTAGACCTAAAAAAAGAATGCAAATTGTATAGTTAGAAATTTTACAATTTCTATTTAAGTATTTTTAATTTCTATGCTGTCACTTTCAGTAAAGAAAACAATAATAAATATTGTGTTATTTTTATTGCCCTAGTACCTTATGCCCAGATGAATACATCATTTCCTTCAGAATTCTCTTTCACTATACAGAATATCATCTAGAAACACTTTTAGTTAATTCTTTTTAATTGCGAGTTAATGGCCTATACTGTCCTCAACAATGGAATTACCATAATTCATTATCAGTAAACAATGGGTGCCTGTCTAGAGGAGTGTCAGGGCCATGCACCTAATTGCTAGAATTGGGACCTAAACAACCACTTACGGTTTATATTCCAATTCAAATGGAAATAACGTCTATTTATAAGCTAAGATTTATGGGGTTTTTTTGTTGTTGTGATTTTGCTTTTTGTTTCTGTTTTTTTAGTGTGGAACTCCTTCTACTTCACCTCTAGTGGCTGTTCCTCTCTCCTGTCCCCTTTCCATCTCCCACTCCCAATGGCCTGGAGAGGACAGAGGATGAGAGACCCAAGGGCAGTCATTTGGCGCCCATTTTGGTTGACGTGATCTTTTCCTCAAGCCTCTTCTCCTTCTTAGTCTTTCTGATACAAGGCACCAACCTCCTGGGGGCAAGAACTAACCTGCTTTATCAGTGGCATCAACAAAGCCCAGAGTGTGGTCGCTAAGTAAGGATTCAATGGCAGTAACTTCCCTACACGGTGTGTGTTGCCAGTAAAGTATCCTCGCCCAGACTGATGTCTCACACGAGGATTTGATAGCTTAGATATAAAGTTCACAGGCTGTAGAATTATCAGCCCATGAATTATAAACACAAATACAGGCTTCCAAACAACAGAACAATAGCCCTAGATCCAGAGTGAACTAATGATTGTGGCATAATCTTAGGGCCAATTCTTATATGCTCTTTAAATTCTAATTTTTAGAATTTTAAATTCTTTCAATAAGAATTTAAAGAAGTGGCTTCTCAGTTCAGATGCCACTTCTGCCAAGAAATCTCCCTTGGCTACCCAGGGGAGTGGGTAGAGGCCCTTTTTATGTGCTCCTCGTGCTTGCTCTAGTTTTCTCTCACCACATTGTAATGTGATCATTTATTTATACATGTCTCCTTGATGTTAGGGTTTTTGGGTTATTTAGCTCTGCAGTCCCAGAGCACATTATGCCTGACGTGTAACTGGTGCTCAATACAATGTTTGTTGAATTAAAGAATAGCATCTCACAGATAAAGATGATACCTGTTTATTATTGAAAGTCCCAAATTCTTGAAGATAAGGACCAACTGAATTTTAAATTTAAATTTCTGATTTCAGAAAATTCTTTTGCCTACAGAGGAAAGTGTCACATCTAGATAGCATCAAACTCACTCTCCCTGGCAGGAGACACGAGATCCTTCTCAGTGCCCTCTACCAGTTCACTCGTTTCAGATTTCTTCTCCATGCTGTCTGCAGTTCAAGGTCTTAATTAATAGTCTTTGCTAGTGGGTTAGATTTTATTGGAATATTTCTAAGTAATGGTTGAAATTTTTTTAACAATGGCCTCAGTTAGGATTTGAACTTACAGCTTTAGTGAGAAAAAATGCATTGCACAATGGAAACCATTTATTTTCCCCGTTCAGCTGTTTGGTGGTAGGGATAAGTAAAGACCAAGCCTTTTGCCTGAGTGAGCTTAGAGTTGGTGTAATTTGTTGCTATGTAAAAATTATCCCAGAATTTAGAGGCTTAAAACAATAAACATTTATTATCTCACACAGTTTTGTAGATCAAGAATCCAGGAGAAGCTTAGCTAGCTGGTTCTGTCTCAGGGTCTCTCATAAAGTTGCAGTCAAAATATTCATCTTTAGATGACTATTTAAAGGCTTGGCTGGGGCTGGGGCTGGGGCATTGACTCCAAGATAACTCACTCACACACTTGGTAAGTTGGTGCTGGTTGTTGGCAGGGGGCCTCAATTCCTCCCCACATGGATCTCTCCATAGTGTTGCTTGAGCATCCTCACAAGATGGCAGCTGGCTTCCTCCAGACAAAGTGACCCAAGAGAGAGCCAGGAGAAAACCCCACCGTGCTTTTCTGTCCTAATTTCGAATGTCACACTGTCAATTCCACCATATTCTCTTCATTAAAAGTGAGTTACTAAATTCAACCCACACTCAAAGGGAGGGAATAAGCTCCATCTTTTGAAAGCAATATCCAAGAATTTGTGGACATATTTCTAAACCACTACAGTTAGTTATCAGATAAATCATTCAAAATGTTTAAATATACACAAAACTAGGCATTCATATGTGCACTTGTGTAGGTTTTCCTTTAACTTTTAAAATTAGTTTTGGCAATTGAAAATGCGTAACAGGTGGCATAAATTGAAGGTGGGTACTTTCAATGTCAATCCTTAGTTTCCCTCTGTTTCAGGTCCAGGAAAAAAACGATTCCTGACATTTATATCTGCAACCTGGCTGTGGCTGATCTGGTCCACATCATTGGAATGCCTTTTCTTATTCACCAGTGGGCCCGAGGAGGAGAATGGGTGTTTGGGGGGCCTCTCTGCACCATCATCACATCCCTGGACACTTGCAACCAGTTTGCCTGTAGTGCCATCATGACTGTAATGAGTGTGGACAGGTAAGTGAAGAGACAATGAAATATCTTTGAGAGGTTCCCAAAGGTCACCTCAATTTATGAAACATCAGTGCTGGTTTGTAATAGCAAAGCTCCTCTTGCTTTGCTTGTTTCATTGTAGGACTGATTACTTAATATTTTTCCAACTTTCACAGAACTCTATTTTATTTAATGGAAAACTTAAAGCACTAAATTCTCCTTTATTCTAATCATTCTTTTTGACTTCAGTTTTATTTGCATGAAAAAAAGTCATAAAATCATGAGATGTTGGAACCAGAATGAATGACCCCCATCATTCTTGCAATAAGGAAGCTGAGCCCCCGAGAAGTGAGGGAATTTGTTGAAGGCACAGAGAGCCAGTGGCAGAGCTGAGAACTGAAGTAGGTCTCCTCCCTCGCTGTCCATGTCTACTTCTGGTATGTTCATTGTCTCACACACTCTTGTTATTACCTACCAGCTCTAAGGAATCAGTGGAGTAGATATGGGCTCCTATACAGCTATGAAGAGATGTCCCAGTACCAGGAAGACCATCTTTTACACTCATTGTTATGATTGGTTAATGCAAATGCTGCCATTTCACATCATTAGAAATTTATTCAACTGTGCCCTGGAATGTGCCATAGCTGTATTCACCAACCATGTAAGCCAATGCTGTTCAAGGAGATGATGGTGAGGGTGAGCACTTATGAGCCAGTGAGTGGTAGAGCCTAGTTCAGACCCAGGCTGTCTGACTCTAGAGATGGCAGATAGCTGGCAATTATGTCACCAGCTGGCCTCTTTAAGAAGTATGCGAGCTGGTATGTGTCCTGCATCAGCCAGACACCAGGACCTCCACACCAGGTCTTAGCAGCATTCCCCAAACAGAAACAAGCCCTAAAGACAGTAGTAATATGCAAAACAGTAGTATTCTGGTCTCAGAGAACAACTTACTTCAAATTTCCGTTGACCTTCTTCTTCCCACCCCAACTCAAGCACACTTGATCTCCCTTGCTCTGATCTACTTTTTCTTTCTCCCTTGCTTTGAATATATTACATAGTTTTAATTTACTTTGTGTGTAGATGGATGTGTTGTTCATTGTCTAGCTTCCCCTACCCCTCAAATGTAAATTCCACAAAGGCAGGGTCTTTGATCGCCAATACAACCCAAGTATCTGTCTAGCAGTGCCTGGCACATGGGTGCTCAAAAAATATTGATGAATGAATGAATGAATGAATGAATGTATGTCAGTCTTGAGGGCTGTGTTAAATTTCCCCTGGTCCATCCAGGACTTCTTCCTGAGCTCTGCCTCTTTTACCCTTCCAAGTGGGCCTTTGGGGTGGGGAAATGATGAGCAGTTCTTCAGATGGATAAACAAAGGAATAGCAAGGTTCATATAAATCATTCACTGGACCATTATTATTCAGACATGAATAATGATGGTAATGTTTAATGCATTTTTTATATCCTGCTGCTTTCCTTCTCAATTTATAATTAACATCACATTTTTTAATCAATGTACTGTGTAGGTCTGGTTAGTTCAGCTGATGCCAGCCAACACTGACAGTGTCTTGAGTAAAGTCTGGTGAGCTTGCCAGGGTTCCAACACTGAGGAGAAGGCCTTGCACAGGGCAGGCGCACTGCAGAAAAGCTTCTTCATACCCTGTACTCTGAAAGCAGGAGAATACTAGCTTTTTTTTTTTAAAGAGAGGAAATTGTACCTCTTCTGTAAACCTCTCACTGTAAATGAAGTGAATGGACATTGTCTGCCTTGGAACAGACCAACTGTATATATTTTCTAACGTTCACAGTTTTTTCTGAGTGTGTATGTGAGTGCGTGTGTGTCTTATACACCTGAATAGCGTGTGTTTGCTTTAATCTGATGGACGCAGTATGCTAAGGTTTTACTTGGACTTAACACACTCAGGCCCTTTCCTCCTCCCTGTCCTCACACTAGAGGATCAGCTGGCCAGAGACAAATGAAGATTCTATAAAACGGAACCTTTTCCTCCCCAGCATTTCTTACAATTCTAACTCTACTAAATTCATAAAAATTCAACAAAATCTGCAATTTTGTAAAAGAGAAATGGATTTTTTTAAGGCCATAACCAAATATCAGTGCCATCAGTATGCCTTATTGTTTATACATTTAAGTCATTTTAGTTGTCAGTTTAATGGATCATAAATTTCAAGTGTTTCCCATAACTCTTTCATTTTTCTGTCTCTGATTAATAATAGCTGCAAGCATGTGGAACATTTTAATAGTGGGTTCCTACCTCCAAAGCAGTTCAAAAAAAAAATTGTAAACATCCGAAATATTAAAAATATTTGCCTCCAGATGAAAGCTACCTAGACTTTTATTAGTGGTTACTTTTGTAAATAAATTCCCTAGAACAACAAAACTTAGTAAGTAGGATCCAAAATTCCCTATTCATTCATTCATTCAACAAATATTTATTGCGCATGGACCATACGCCAGGGACTGTGCCAGATGCAGGAGATACAGCAACATTAAACCAAGAGGCAAGGCTCCTGTCATCATGGGGTTTCCATTCCAGAGGCGTAGACAGACATTAAGTGAAGAGTCACACGAGTAAATGCGTATTTCCACACAGTGATACACACTACAAAGGAAAAGTAGAGTTCCCCTACAACCCACATTTAGTCATGGGCCCTCGTATAGATCAGGTGGTCAGGGGAGGCTTCACTGAGAGGGAGACGGGTAAATGGGGACTCAAAGGAAGAGCGGAAGGAAGCCGAGGCAGATGCTGCCAGGCAGGTACAATAGCATGTGCCCAGCCCTAAAAGGGGAAAGAGCTTGAAGGAAGGCCAGAAGGAGACTGGCACAAGCTTCAGGCCATGTGGCAGGCAGGGCCAGGTGGAGACAGACTTTGTGAATCCTGGTAAAAATTCTGAATTTTACCTGAAAGATGACAGAAAGCCATTGAAGCATTTTCAGCTGAGGAGAATATGATCAGAGAAAATTCCCTAATTGATTGATGCTATGATTCCATCATCCTTTAATCCCAGACAGAATGATGCCTGGGCTGCTGAACAATCACTACCTCATCCCCTTCCCCAGCAGGGATGGAAGGGGGCCTTCTATCCTTAGCACAGGTAATGCAGGTGCCGTGTGCAGAAGGAGGGGCGCTGAGGCACCCTGGACCACAGCCTCTTCCTGCACACCAAGGGGTTCCTTAACTGAGTGCAAAACGTCCTGCCTCTTGAGCAAAATTGAAAGAGCAAGAGGACAGGGAATTTTTCATTTTTATAAATCTTCATTAAGTAGCTCTACGAAAACTTGGAGAAAATTAAATGACCATCGAAACTATATTTTACATTTATTTAATTTCTATGAATACCACCTTCCACCACCCCCACCCTTGAGCAAAACTGTTTTCTCAAATACCCTTCCCTTTGAACTTGAGTTCTCTTTTTCATGCTTTAGCTTTCAGTTGGCTCTGAAAAATTCTTCTTGGATTTGCTAAAGGACAAAATATATTTGGTATGTCAGGATTTCAAGTTTGATTAATGATTATCCTTTTGTTCTGGATCTAAAATAGAAAAAAAGAAATGAAAAAAGAAAAACCCTTCCCCATGAAATTAGCCCATTTTCCCCCCTCCGGCCTCCAGCCTAAGTTCCCTGAGGAATTTGCATCGTCTGTAAGAATCACGTTTGTCTATCTTCACTGTGATTCTGAGAACTGAACCTCCAAGAGCCAGGGGACCCTCCAGTAAAGGCATCTGAGCAAAATGTCTGTCCTGTGGGCCTCCACCTCGTCCTGCTGGAGGATTCTCCTACCAGCCAGCGCCCTTTCCTCCTTCCCGCCTCCACATCAGTAAATCCCACTGGGCTTTACTCTCCCTCCTGGAGGAAATCCCTGTTCAGAGACCAAGTTTTCCAAAGCCTTGTCTATAAGGGAAGCACCTTTGTAAAGAACGAGTCTGCTTGGCAGAGTTGTACCATTATCAGTGTGTTCGTGGAGTGACAGCTATTTCAGTGAGTGGTTTATTCAGACTTGCAGGGTCAAGAGTTGTTTTCTCTACAGGTACCAGCCAGCTCTTAAAAAATAGAACTTTCTTGTACCCTGATAGAGGTGTGCTTCAGGGAGGATAATAATGCTAATAATTTACTCTTGTCATGAACCTTTCATCCTTGGAGTCCAGGGCTTTTATTGATTGTTCCCAAATCCTTCTTAACTGACTTTGCAGGTACTTGGCTCTCGTCCAACCATTTCGACTGACGAGTTGGAGAACGAGGTACAAGACCATTCGCATCAATTTGGGGCTTTGGGCGGCTTCCTTTATTCTGGCATTGCCTGTCTGGCTCTACTCGAAGGTCATCAAATTTAAAGACGGCATCGAGAGTTGTGCTTTTGATTTAACATCCCCCGATGATGTACTCTGGTAGGTTGTTAAAACTTAAGAAAAATAGAGTGGAATTAAGTTGTGAAGTGCTTCATCCTCCTTGTGCAAACGTGAGCAGCCGTGCAGAGTGTCCTTGGGAATCCTCTTCCGACCGGTCTCCCTACTTCGTTTTCTGCTTTCCACAATCAAGTTGATAGTTTGATTTTAAGGAGAGGGTAACCTTTAGAAAAGGATTTTGAGTTTAATCATGTAACCCCAGTGGGCACAAATATATTTAAATATGTATTTTAAAGATCCCTGGCAACCAGATGTGGCCGGGAGGAAGCCGTCAAGGGATGGGCAGAATTTCCAGAAGGGTCTAGGAGTTACTCAGACTCAAACTTTATCGATATGCAACTAGAGTTTGGTTGAATTGTCTCCCAAAAGACACATTCAACTCCTAACCCTCGGTACCTGTGAATATGACCTTATTTAGAAATGGGGTCTCTGCAGATGTAATCAGGTTACGATGAGGTCATACTGGATTAGGGTGGGCCCTAAAGCTACTGATTTGTTCCTGATAAGGAGAGGGAGATTTGAAGAGACACAGAAAGGAGAAGGCATGTGAAGACAGAGACAGAGATTGGAGTGATGTATCTACAAGCCAAGGAACACCAAGAATTGCCAGAAACCACCAGAGGCTAGGAGAGAGATGTGGAGCACATTCTCCTTCAAAACTCCCAAAAGGAACCAACCAGGCCAACAGCTTGATTTCAGACTTCTAGCTTCCAGAAATGTGAGACAATAAATTTCTGTTGTTTTAAGCCATCCAGTTTGTGGTAATTTGTTACAGCAGCTCTAGAAAACTAATACAGCAACCAACACAGGCATTTCTTACATTTTAATTTGAAAAGAAAAATTAAGTCAAAAATTTTGTATTTGAAATTTTTGACAGCACGGTGGAGTCTATGACTAAAATTTTCAATTACCTACTAAGGGCCAGGGACTGTGCTAGGTGGTTTTTACATACATTATTGCAAGCTGATCTGGCACATCCCTTTTTCCTATCTACCACTTGTCAAATAGGTGAGTCATTTCTGCATCATATAGACATAACCCAAGAGGGATGGAGGTAGAGGCCCTGCAAGAACACAAATCCAGTAACAAAAGTCTCCAGGAGTACAACATCGATAGCATTGTTTATTCATCATTCCTCCCACCAGCATTGGCTACACTCTCAGACAAAAACCAGCCAATCTGCAGGTGAAATGGTACTTAATCACTGGAGGCTAGGAGTAACATGGGCCCAAACCTATCTAGAAGAACACAGCCTGAGGCTCACCATAGGATGTATGACTTTGGCCTGGGTCAAAGAGACAAAGATCAACTATTTTGCACCGACAGCTGCTTCTGCTGTTTTGGGTTGGTTATCATAAAGGATATTCTGGGGTTTCAGCCTCTGTTGTTCCTCCTAGAATTAAGTCCTTACAATAAACTGGGACTGGAGCTACTGTGCTGCATTCAGAGTCCCTCTGGTCCCAGGTGCTCTCTCTCTGCCACCCTGTCCATACCCACCCAGGCTGGGCTGCATTCTTTCACTGATGCCAGGGTTCTGCCAGGAAGGAGGACGCCTGGCGTCTGTGCAGAAATGGAGTTGGCTCACCTGAGAATTCCCCCCAGAGGAGCACCAAGGAAAAGACTGGCTGATTTTACAACAGGGCCTTTGAGAGGCCACCTGGAGCATTGGTTACAAGTGTGGGCTGTGCAGCTCGACCATCTGTCTGAGTTGAAATCCCATCTCTGCCACTTATTAGCTGGGTAACCTTGGGGAAGCCACTTAACTCTTCTGTACCTTAGCTTCTTCTTCTGTAATGTGAGGATACCAATGGCATTGTACTCATGAGACTGCAGAGATTCAATGGGTTAAATTACGTAAAGCACTCAGAACAGTGCCTATTACATAATAAATGTTACCTGCTGTTGCCTGTTGTTGTTAATAACACTAAAGATAATGACAATAATAGGTATCCTCATTTGTTCCATACTCAGTAGACTTGGATGTGGCTAGAGAAGAGAAAGGCATCACTGTCAGTGGACAACGAAGAGCAGGACTTCTCTACATGAAAGCACCCAAAGATCCTTAACTTTTCCCAAGGATATTTATCCTGGGCCCTGAAAAATCAGAAAACCATGCCTCATAAACTGTAAAAGCCAGTTTCTAGCATTGTGAATGTAACAGTCATGTCTTCTCTCTCATTTTACAGGTATACACTTTATTTGACGATAACAACTTTTTTTTTCCCTTTGCCCTTGATTTTGGTGTGCTATATTTTAATTTTATGCTCTACTTGGGAGATGTATCAACAGAATAAAGATGCCAGATGGTAAGTGTTTGCCTTCTTTTGCTTTATTTGTTAAAAGAACAATTCAGAGATCCTAAGACATCTACAACAGAAACTCAAGCAACAATAACTTGAAACATACCACACTTAGACATATAGGCAGTAATGTCTACATAAGGCATTTTCTGAAAATAAGACGTGTTCTGAAGCAGCTATTTGAGGATCTTTAGTGATAAATGTTGAAATCACTGATGTAATCATTTCATAAAAATTAAACAAAACTCAAGATTCTATCTACAGAATAGTTTTATTTTTGTCATCAACAATAACAATGTTATATAAATGTTTTCTTTGTACATTTTGCAGTTATATATATATGTTGATAAATATCCCAGATGCTGTATATAACCTTTTAATTTTTGCGTTTTAATTTTTTTTAATTTAGAGGAGCGGAATCTCATTAATATTTGAATACTTACAAGTTAATTAGAACTAAATAAAAACAAAGACTTACCTAAAGACAATAAACTGGGAAAGTACTCTTCAAGATAGTTGTCTCTAAAACTGCATAAAAAATATAAATTATTTTCTACTTGAGATTGTACATTCCAAGTTGTTCATGTACGTCAGTGATTATATATCATGTTGGGTTAAGAAATCATTATTAAAATTTCTTTAGAATAGATTATCGTATTTCTTTTCAAAAGACAAGATTGCTGAGTTTCCCACACACCATATATAACACTGTGAAGATGAAAAAAAAAAGAATATATGAACAATTTGACCACAATTGGTCAAAATTTGTGACAAACCCTAGTATCAAAGGTTTAGGTAGGTCCTTGCCCCACGACGTTTTTTCCCCCTTAGCTTCTTGAAGTTCTTTGGAAATGTTACAATCTTAAAGGGTAGTCTATTTAGAATGGGAAAGGGATGCAGCCAAAGTTATAGAAAAAGATTTAGCTTCTAAATGTATCACAGGGAGCTGAGTTGGTGAGAAGGTTGAAATATCGTATGGAATATTAAGACACTGACAGCTGGAGAGGGTGCTTCAGCCCTTTCAAAACGGTTCTCCAAATCAGATCACTGCTCCCAACACTTTCTTCAGAAATACTAAGAGCGTCTTATGAAACAAAGCTCATACTGCCCAGTTATCCCTCAAAATGCAAGAAGTTAGAGCAATGATGGTGCCTGCTCTGATAAGCTGCGGAGGAATCATCTTCGAATGATTTTCAGCTGCCATGCTTTTTTCATATTTTCCCCAGGCTCATTCATCTGTTTCAACCATGTCCCAGGGAAATTTCTATTAAATGTCTAAATATGACATAACATGCTAAAATTTGGGAATTTTAAAATATTTTCTTATTTTAGAATAATTTTAAATTTACAGAATAGTTGCATCAATAGTACGGAGAGTTCCCGTATACTCCTCACCCAGTTTCCCCATTAACATCTTACCTTACCAAGATGGATTTGCCAAAACAAAGAAAATAGCATTGGTACATTACTATTAACTAAACTCTACCCTTTATCAGATTTCACCAGTTTTTCCACTGAAGTGTTCTTTCTGTTCTAGGATTCAATCCAAGGGACCACATTGCATTTAGTTGTCATGTCTCCCTAGGCTCCTCTGGTCTGTGACAGTTTCTCACTCTTTCCTTGTTTTTCATGACCTTGATAGTCTTGAGGAGCACTGGTCAGGGATCCTATAGAATGTCACCCAATCTGAGTTTGTCTGATACCGTATCACAGTTAGACTGTAGCTATGTGTTTTTGGAAAAAATCAGCTCTTCTCGTCACAACACGTCAGGGGGCGCATGATAACTACATGACATCTCTGTTGATGTTAACTGTGATCACTTGGTTAAGGCAGTGTTTGCCAGGTTTCTCCACTATAAAGTAACTATCCATTTCTCTACTCTTTGGAAACAAGTCGCTAAGTATAGCCCACCCTCAAGGAGGCAAGGGGAGGGTGGGAATTAAGCTTCATCTCCTGGAAAGGGGAGCATCTGCATATATTATTTGGAATTCATCTGTAAAGAAGGTTTATCTCTTCTCTCCCATTTTATTCAATCATTTATTTATGTCAGTATAGACTCATGTATATTTATTTGATACTTTGGATTTTAATTCAATACTATATTATTTATTTTGTTTCTCAAAATGTTCCGGCTTTGGGAAACTTTTAACAGGAATGAAAAAGAATCTTTTCACAATGCTTTGAATAGGTAGAAATAAAAAAAGAGTTTTATATTCCACTGCATAGCCATTATGAACTGTCCAAAAAGTTCTAGGAAATCATTGCCCCACAATTTCTCTGGTTGTTTATGTCCTGTCTATCCTCATGTTTCCTTTGTAGTTACAATCCCAGCGTTCCCAGGCGGAGAGTCATGAAGCTGACAAAGATGGTGCTGGTGCTGGTGGCAGTCTTTGTCCTGAGTGCAGCCCCCTATCACGTGATCCAGCTGGTGAACTTACAGATGGAGCAGCCCACACTGGCTTTCTATGTGGGCTATTACCTCTCCGTCTGTCTCAGCTATGCCAGTAGCAGCATTAACCCTTTTCTCTACATCCTGCTGAGTGGAAATTTCCGGAAACGCCTACCTCGAGTGCAGAAAAGAGTGACTGAGAAGGAAATCAACAACATGGAAAACACCTTGAAGTCGAGCTTCTAGGAGAGTACCCGGATCATCAAAAGTCTAGACAGGCTTGTCTATGTTATTGGTATTATTAGAAAGGGCGGGTGAAATGATGTGCTTGTGTCCATTCTTCTTGTGTACTTGTGACTCTTAGTGGCATGGCAGAGAAGTGTAACCATTCACGTGCAATGAGTTTAGTATGCTAATTTTAGTAAAACGTGAAATACTTATCTGTACTGGGAGAGGGAGTGGGATAATCTAAGACACTTGAACTCCATGGTTGTGGACATTATCTCAGCATGTTATAAACTAGTCACTGATAAAAATGGCCATCCAGGGCCAGCCCCAGTGGCCTAGTGGTTAAGTTGGGCACGTTCCACTTCAGCGGCCTGGGTTCAGTTCCTGGGCACTGACTTACACCATTCGTCTGTCAGTGGCCATGCTGTGGCAGCAGCTCATATACAAAAAGGGGAAGATTGGCAGCAGATGTTAGCTCAGGGCGAATCTTCCTCAGCAAAAAGAAATGGCCATCCATGATCACTGACTGAAAACTTACCAAGGAATCTGACCTTGCCGTCCACTCTGTGGCCTCGTGCCCTTGAGGTTCCTAAAAGGGGACCACTTGACAATGAGATCTGAAATTTGGCCATTTTTTATCTACAAAAATGTCAATTTCATATAGTCCCATCTAATGCCTTCAATAATCAGCTCCACCTGTTAGCATAACACTTACCATGTATTGAACACGTGCAACATGTAAGATTACATGTAACAAACCTATGAGGTAAGCATTACCTCACGTTGCTAAGGCTCATAAAGGTTAAGTGATAGGCCTAATGCTGCACAGCTACGTAAGAGCTGGGCTAAAATCCAATTCTGCCTGTTTCTGTCTTTTTACTGCAACGCCTTGGCAACCTGTACTTATCATACTGGAGAGAGCCAATAATTTGGAGGGGTTTTTTTTGGTTTCTCCTACAGCCCCACAAAGAGAGAACGAAAGTCTGCAAGAAATGAGTTGATGGTATAAGCATATTCTTTTGCATTTAGCTTTGTTCTCATGCCTATGAATTATAGAAACCAGCATCTGCATTTTAATAATAGTATTCTTCAGGATGTTAAGCATATGCTTAGACACATTCTATTTAGGTTAAGTACATGTTTGTTCAAGGGTACAAAAAGTAATTAGCCCTTAAATTCATAGCTGTTCATTATATCTATCTTTTCCTCTTTTGGATTGTATAAAACATGCACTTTGATATAGTGAGGAAAGAAAAAAAAATGTCCTTAAAGCCTGTATTCTCAAAAAAGGTAAATATTGTTATTTTGTTTGTGAATAAAATCTGTAAACCCACCTCCTTCATCTAAATACATAAAACCACTTGCTCCGTGGACATCTGAAACTGATTTTTAATCAGCTCTTTATATAAAAAGTCACAGAGACCAGCTTTTTTAACAACCTGATCTCCATTTTTATATCTCAATTGTCAAGACACATGACTTTTAACCCAATGTATTTGGTTCTAGATCTTTTAGAGACCATTTTGGAACAAGGTCATATCTAAATGCAGATCTGGACAAAAGGTCATGTAAACAATGTGAGGACTGCAAACTGAGACAGGTCACCTCTGAGATATTTTAGTTCTGTAACTGAAGTCTGGAGAGCTACACACACAGACTGGATGCTCATTTACAATTTCAATCAAGAGCCATGTCGTGGCTACAATTCTAGGGGTCCTTCATTCTCATTTCTCTAAGGTGCCAACAGTCAGGGTTCTTCACTGAACCCTGACATCTGAAGACCCTACACGAGTCATAAACAGATGTTATCATTTGATAATTGAAGAGAAATTCAAGATTTAACTTACATTGTCTTTTCTAATACAGAAAGTATTGTGATTTTAAAGATTTAAACGGTTTTAAATCAACAGACATTTTTCTAAAAGCATTTCCAATAGGCCTCAACTATTTCCAATACATAAATTGGTCAGTGAATTATTTTAATTTATGTTTATTAAGAGTTGTAAAGAACTTTAGCATCTAATCAAAGGACAAAATAAAAAGGGTGACTGTTAAATTCATTTTTGTGCCTTTATATAGCTTTTCTATGCATAAACATATATATACGCAGATTTGCAGAGGTGGTTTGACAGAGATTCTCTATGTGTTTTGTATTTTTGCCCATGATATGTACACATGTTTACTTATAAGAGAAGTTAATGATCAGTTTCACATATCTAATTAATGCTTGAGTATTTGTCATTACGTAGAATCATAAAATCGTTATAATCCTAACTGTATCTCTCCTCTATGCTTATTCAATTTTAGGTGCCTCATTTAAATTTTGATTGATTAATATAAATCAATGAATAAAAATTGCTTGTATATTAACTTACTTCTGGCTTGTACCTCTATTCTTAAGGTTCTCTTATATAAAAGATTTCATATTTCCTTAATATAATTTCTCCTGAACAAAGAATAAAGATTTCAGAATTAGTAAAATGTGTGTTAAATACGGCTAATAGTCTGCAGGCACTCTCACACCAGATTCTCAGAAATCTAGGCACTTGTATTACACCTGAAGTCCCAGGAATTACTGCTTTTCATGGGTTATGATATCACAGGGATCATGGAATCTTGGACCTGAAAGATACTTTAGAGATTATCAAATGTAACAGATGAGAAAAATTAACCTCAGCTAGATCAAATTATTTTTAACACAGTCTGGTGTGTGTTCAGAGACCCACACCTAACGGGAAGCTAGAAACCAGCCCTGAGTTCTTTCCACCAAACTTCCCTCCCTTTGGGACCATGGAAAACAACTACTAAGAAAATTAAATTTGACATTTAATGGCTATGACAAGTTATTGAAAGTTTAGTGAGTAAATCAAGATGTATAATTTTTCTTTTAAAGTTGTAGAATTTTTTAAAAAATAACTGATTCTTTATAATTTGCTTGGACTTCTTGTCAGGATGGCAGAGGTTAGTTTTCCATTCACTTCACAGAGTTCTATGGAGTGAGCCCAAAGCAAAATATAGAAATTAATAACATTTTCTTTTACTATCCACATTTTTTGTTGCTATCTCTCTATACCAAGAATTTAGTTCATTCTGCAGGTAGCCTCCTCTCTCACCTAAGATTAGGAACAGCCTTACAGCTATGATTCCTTCATGCCTTAACCCCAGCAGGCTAGCATCAAATTGTTTCATTTGCCCTTCTAGCAATTAGCACAGCTACAGCCAGTCCATTCAAAAGACCATGCTAAATCAGTATCTTGATTTCTAGTGTTTGTAAATTTATCATTTAACACGTGGCTCCACTGAAATTTTTTTTTTTTTTAATGCCTAAGGCATTACCCAATCTCAAGAACTGATAATCCAATGTCTCCTGTGTTTCCTGTAGATCACCTCTACCTACCTGTTAGGTATTCTCTGGGTGAACCAGAGAATAATCTATAGTGATTTCTCAATTCTAAAATACAATATTGATTGTAAAATGCACCATTAATTTAATAATTGTCTTTGGGAAATTAAAAAAAAACATTAAACATTCACATTAATAGTAAAATGTACCCTAATTTCAGAAACACTAACGTGGGAAAATGCACATCACGGAATTGAGGGGGGAAAAAACCCAATATTAACAACTCATCGATGTATTTTCTTCTAAGATTAAATGTACTCGTCTCTATCATTCAATGAAAGAATTCTCCACCCGGTGATTTCCTCATTACTAATAAATTTCTAAATCCAAACACATAAATGAGTCATATAAAAGGATCAAAATCAATTTAACATCTCACAAAATGTTTTACTTTTTTTGAGGCACAGGATTGAGAAAATGTGTGAATAATTTTGAAATAAATTGTATTTCTATAGCAACAAAGGCACAAGTACTTGCTACCTTAACAACTGAAAAACTTAACATTGCATCCTGAAAGTAAAGCTTTGAGTTTCTTGAGGGTGAAAACATATCTTGGGCTTCATCACACCATCACTGGGAACATAATTCTTGGATACTATTTCAACGGTGTTCTCTTCTATCAGAAATTTATTTAAAAGTATCAAGTCGCCCCCTAGTCAAAAGCAAAAACATTTCTAAAACACTGTGTGATTTTTACTGAGAATACAGTTGTTTCTGTAGCACATTAAGTAAAATGTGTTGCTCCTCTTAATTTACAGAACTGAATACATTTGCTATTTCTCTGAAAAATCATTCAAAGCAAACATCCATCTTTTGCAGATAGATTTAAGTAATAATAGGCACTTTTTAATAATAGTTATCTAAAATATTATATGTAGATTTTTCCCAAACAGTTAACAAAACTATTTCCAGGAATAAGAAATAAGGAATGAGGTTCCACTCCTCAGTTTTCAATATTGTGTAGAAAGCTCTGGAATCCCTGGTGTGTCAATGGACCTGGTTTAAGTTCCAGCCTCATCAATTACTAGGTGTAAAAGACCTTGGTAAAACTATTAATGAGACTGCTTAAATGTATGGATTAGGAAATTGGAGCCCAAAGAGGGTAAACAAAGTCAACAAGCTTTTTATTGTCAAAACAATGGCAAAGTTTGAAGCTCCTAACTCAGGCCTTCCCTGTTTCCACTGTATCATTCTCTCTCCAATAGGCTGCACTCAGAATAGGAGGCTGTGGATTTCATGCCAAGAAGTTTGGCTTATAAATGTAGTGATATGCTTGTGATACCGAACCTCTTAATCTCAAATTTGTGTGCCCAATGCCCAGCAAGCCAAACACTGAGACATTGGTGCTTGGAGATGGAGAAAGATTTATTCCAATTAGCCAAAACGAGTAGGCATGCAGGAGCCTGGGTTCACTCAAATCCATCTCCCCAAGAACAGAAAGCAGGGGGGTTTTATAGAGCTAAGGGGCTTGGCAGGAGGAGCTTCAGGGAAACAAAGGGATCGCTCCCGATAAGCCCCTGGGCAATCTGACTTCTGGGCTTCAACGGCTGCTGAGGGCCAGCCATCTGGCAATCACAACTTCCTCAAAGGCATTCTCTCCCTTCTGCAAAACAAGCTCACAAATCCTCTAGACCCCTGAGTCACCACTCAAGTTAAACAGGAAAAACAGCAAATGGGTTTAATGTCTACAGTACCCCTCAGGTACCGAGCTTCACTTGTAAATGCGATGAGATGCCTTGAAGATTTTTGAGGAGAGCAGTATCACAAGCAGATCTTTGCTATTGG